TATTTTTTAGAATTTTTTTAAATAAGTAATTTTTTTCATTTCATTTCACCAATTTGGACTATTTTGTGTATGTCCATTACATGAAATCCAAATAACAGGTTGTAATGCAACAAAATAGGAAATACGGCAAGGGGGCTGAATACTTTTGCAAGGCACTGTACCTTAATGTAATAGATTTCCATTAAAATGGGCAAAAATATATTTTGGGGAAAATACTATTTCTCAAGCAAGAATTTTGCTATGACTGTCTGGGAGTTGTCTGAGTGGGTTGGAAAACTAGCTGTTATTGGCAGAGGTTTGAAACTCTCTTTGTTATTGGACTATTAACCAATTGACCACATGGTGATGTCACCATGGAAAGCTGAAACTCCTGCCCATGCAAACCTGCTGATTAGAAAGTCCTGTGTAGATTTTATTTTCAACCAGCAACTACACTACATTACCAAAAGTATGTGGACACCTGCTCGTCGAACACCTCATTCCAAAATCATGAGCATTAATATGGAGTTGTTGCTGTAACAGCCTCCACATTTCTGGGAAGGCTTTCCACTAGATGTTGGATTTTTTATTTATTTTTTTGGGGGGGGGGAATGGATCAGCTTAATATTGCAGTTAGATTGTATCTTCTATCTGCAGGGACTTGCTTCCATTCAGCCACAAGAGCATTAGTGAGGTCGGGCACTGATGTTGAGCGATTAGGCCTGGCTCGCAGTCGGCATTCCAATTCATCCCAAAGGTGTTCGATGGGGTTGAGGTCACGGCTGTGTGCAGGCCAGTCAAGTTATTCCACACCGATCTCGACAAACCACTTCTGTATGGACCTCGCTTTGTGCACGGGGGCATTGTCATGCTGAAACAGGAAATGGCCTTCCCCAAACTGTTGCCACAAAGTTGGAATCACAGAATGGTCTAGAATGTAATTGTATGCTGTAGCGTTAAGATTTCCCTTCACTGGAACTAAGGGGCCTAGCCCGAACCATGAAAAACAGCCCCAGACCATTAATCCTCCTCCCCCAAACTTTACAGTTGGCACTATGCATTGGGGTATGCAGCGTTCTGCTGGCATCCACCAAACCCAGATTCGTCCGTCGGACTGCCAGATGGTGAAGCATGATTAATCACTTCAGAGAACACATTTCCACTGCTCCAGAGTCCAATGGCGGCGAGCTTTACACCACTCCAGCCGACGCTTGGCATTGGGCATGGTGATTTTAGGCTTGTGTGCGGCTGCTCGGCCATTGAAACCCATTTCATTAAGCTCCCGACTAACAGTTAATGTGCTGACGTTGCTTCCAGAGGCAGTTTGGAACTAGGTAGTGAGTGTTGCAACCGAGGACAGACTATTTTTACGCGCTGCGCGCTTCAGCGCTCGGCAGTTCCATTCTGTGAGCTTGTGTGTCCTCATACTTTTGTATATATAGTGTATCAGGAATAACACTGATCACATTTCTTCACACTTTTACAGTTTTAGTTTAATCAGCTGTTGTACAATATGACACAAAACACAGGACAAACTTAATTTTGACTGCACTGGGCCTTTAAGTGTGTGTGAGAGGGATCATGGTGTATGTGTGTGTGTTTGTGTGTACTTGTGTGTGTGTGTCCTTGTAGCCTTGGGAGAATCTAGACTCCTCGCGTCCTCTCCTCCGCACTCTCCTCACCTGCTTTTGAAAAAGTTTGAAGGTAATCAAGGAGCATTGGACAGGACAGGAAACTAGACTGTCCTTCTCTTTCAGGGTTGGAATCCCAAAATAAATGTGTAAAGTGATCAAAACAAATGTAGCTAGTTGTGAAATACATTTTATAGATAAAAGGAAAGAAGTATATCGTTTTTGAAATGTGTGCATAATTTTCTCCTTTGAGAAAACAACAGCTGATTCAAATGGGGTGTGGTGGATTTTTAAACGAAGTAGGTACCACTTCTTAATTTGCCTACTAACGAATTGACTCTCCTCGACCACTCAACCACTTATCGGTTTCTGGGTCAAAGTGGAAAGGAGGACGGAGGAGGTGAGGAGAAGATCGATTTATACCCAATTGAGAATGTCCACTTGTGTGTGTGTCCTTCAGTCCAGTGATGAACAGTGACACAACACTAATTCAGAACTTAAAGTCCACTTGTGTGTCCTGTCTATCAGGCCAGAGAGAACGTGACACAACCAGCTTTAATCTAAGAACTCTAAAAGAACTTTAACTTCTATCTCTTTCTTATATGTTTCTCGCCCTCTACTATCGTCTATCTATCTCTCTTCTCTCTCTCTCTCTATCTGATTCTCTACTCTCTCATCTCTCTCTCTTGATCATTCCCTCTTGTCGCTACTCTTTCTCTCCCCTCTGGTCTCTCTCTCTCTCTCTTTGTTTTCTGTTCCTCCCCACCCTTTTTTCTCCCCCTTCCCCTCCCTCTCTGTTTCTCTCCATTGTTCTCCCCTCTCTGTTTCTCTACCTGTCTATCCCCTCTGACTCTCTTCTTCTCTCTTCTCTATTGATCTCTTCTCCTCTTTCTCGTCGTTCCTCCATCAGTTTCTATTTCTCCGCTATCTCTCTTGTTCTCTTCTCTGTTATCCCTCTTGTTACTCTCTCCTCTTCTCTCCCCTCTCTGCTTCTATCTCTACTGTTATCTCTCTCTCTAGTTCTCTCCCCTCTATGTTCTTCACTCAGTTTCTCTCATCTATCCGTCTCTATCCATCTTGTTTCCCCTTCTCTATCTTTTTACCTTCTCTTTATTCTCCTCTTGTCTTCCCTCTATGTTTATACTCTTACCTATATCGTCTCTCTACTAGTGTTCTATCTCATTATCTACTCTGTTTACTCTCCTCTTGTTTCGCATAACTCTGTTTTCATATTTTCTTCTCCCTCTATGTTTCTCCCCTTCTAGTTTTCTTTAGCTATCTCTCTTCTCCTCTTCAAAACTCTCTTTTATCTCTATCTCTCTCTGTTTCTCTCTTCTTTCTCTCTATCATTTCTCTCAAATCTCTGCTCTCTCTCTCATCTATATCATTTCTTTCTCCTCTAGTGTTTCTCTCCCCATTTCAAGTTTTATCATCTCTCGATATCTATTCGTTCTATTCATGTTTCTATCCCTATCTGTTATATATATCATCGTTTATCCTCTATTCCTCTCTATCTATCCTCTTGATTCTTTTCTCTCTGTTTCTCTCCCTATTGTTTCTCTACCACATACAGTTTATCTCCTCTACGCTCATCTCTCTCTGTTCTCTCTCTGGGTTCTACTATCTCTATCTCTCTCCTACTATCTCTCCTCTATCTCTCTCTCTCTCTCGCCTCTCTCTCTCTCTCTTCTCTCCGTCTGTTCTCTCCCAACTCAGTTTTCTCATCTCCACGCTCTCTCATTCACTCTCTGGTCTCTCCCTCTCTGTTACCTCTCTCTGTTTCTACCTCCTTCTCTCTCTCTCTTCTGCTCTATTCCCTCTCATGTTTCTCTATCATCTCTGTTTCTCTCCCCTCTCTGTTTCTCTCCCCACTCAGTTTCTCTCTCTCTCCCGCTCTCTCTCCTCTCTGTTTCTCTCTCCTCTCTGTTTCTCCCCTCTCTGTCTCTCCCCTCTCTGTCTCTCCCCTCTCTGTTTCTCTCTCCCCTCTGTCTCTCTCTGTTTCTCTCTCTCTTCCCTCTGTTCTCTTCCTCTCATGTTCTCTCCCCTCTCTGTTTCGCAAACCTCTCTGTTTCTTCTCCCTCTCTCCTCTATGTTTCTACCTCTTCTCAGTCTCTCTCTCTATCTCTTCTCTCTCTATCTCTCTCTCTCTCTCTACTCTCTCTTCTTCTCTCATCCCCCTTGTTTGTCTCTCCCCTCTTTGTTTCTCTCTCTCTGTTTTTCTTTCCTCTCTGTTTCTCTCCCCTCTTGTTCTCTCCACCTCTTGTTTCTCTACTCCCCTACTCGTTTCTCACCTCTTCTCTGTTCTCTCTCCTGCTGTTTATCTCTCCTCTCTGTTCTCTTCCCTCTCTGTTTCCTCCCCTCTCTGGTTTATCTCCCCTCTCTGTTTCTCTCTCCTCTCTCTCCCTCTCTGTTTCTCTCCCTCTCTCTCTTTCTCTCTCTCTCCCCTCTCTGTTTCTCTCTCCTCTCTTTGTTTCTCTCTCCTCTCTGTTTTTCTTTCCTCTCTGTTTCTCTCTCCTCTCTGTTTCTCTTCCCTCTCTGTTTCCCTCCCCTCTCTGTTTCTCTCCCCTCTCTGTTTCTCTCTCCTCAGTTTCTCTCTCCCTCTCTGTTTCTCCCTCTTCTCTGTTTCTCTCTCCTCGCTGTTTATCTCTCCTCTGTTTCTCTATCCGCTCTGTTTCTCTCCCCACTCTGTTTCGCTCTCTCTCTCCCTCTCTCTTTCTCTCTCTTTCTCTCTCTCTGTTTCTCTCTCCTCTCTGTTTCTCTCAACACTCCGTTTCTCTCTCTCTCCCTCTCTCTCTCTCTCTCTATGTTTCTCTCTTCCCCACCCTCCCTCCCCCTTCTCTCTCTCCCTCTCATTCCCTTCCTCTCTGTGGTTTATGCTTGGCCAATCACTCTTAGGTCCTGCACTCTGTCAGCAAAGACCCAGACTCCCCAACACAAATACTGTCTTGATTCAAAACACACACACGCGCGCGCGCACACACGCACACACACACACACCAACCTCCTCATTATATTCATCATCATAATCCTACGTACGCAAAATCCACCTGTGTGTCCATGTTACCTGACACTCAGCAGAAAAACAAGGGAGACTGCAGAAAGAGGTCAAAGGAGGATTACTCTGTATTTTACAGTCCCATATTTACCTGATACAGTGCCTACTTAGAAAGCACATGGTAAAAGGGGTATATAAATAATTCAATGACCTACTGTAATGACTACCTTTGGGTTTCTTTACAATTCATCAAAAAAAAAAAAAAACGGTTGAACATTTTCATAACATTTCATAAGTACAACTTGTTACCACGTAACGTCTTAGTAAGTACCAGATGTAATAGGACTGTCAAATAAACCGTTCCAAAAAGAGATGACAAAAGAGAGAAATAAAAATCATCTCACCTCGTAGGCGTTCTTGATGTTGAGGGGCTGGCCCGTGGCCGCCACGTGACCCACAATGCCCTTGTTCCACTCCAGACGGATGCAGCTATTGGACACCTCCTCCAGGGTCGAGCCCTCGGCCACGTCAAACAGCCTGCTCACCAGGAACTTCCTGTTGGAGCTGTCCTCGCCCACCTGGGGTCACGCGACAAGTAATAGAAAGGAAGTGATGTCATACTTATCCAGATTCATACAGGAAGTGTATCTGCATCGGCTTTTTAAAGTTGTCTACACAGTTTATACTACGATATGATAATATATGATGTATGATGTGATAGGTCACTTTATCGTCCATTTGCATGGAAATGTAATCATAGCTACCTGATATTGTCACACCCTGATCTGTTTCACCTGTCTTTGTGCTTGTCTCCACCCCCCTCCAGGTGTCGCCCATCTTCCCCATTATCCCCTGTGTATTTATACCTGTGTTCTCTGTTTGTCTGTTGCCAGTTCATCTTGTCTTGTTAGGTCTTACCAGCCTGCTTTCCCGTCTTCCTGTTTCTCAAGTTCTGTTTCCTAATTTTCCCGGTTCTGACCATTCTGCCTGCCCTGACCCCGAGCCTGCCTGCCGTCCTGTACCTGCCTGACTCTGACCTGATCACGAACCTCTGCCTGCCCTGACCTCGAGCCTGCCTGCCGTCCTGTACCTACCTGACTCTGACCTGATCACGAACCTCTGCCTGCCCTGACCCCGAACCTGCCTGCCGTCCTGTACCTGCCTGACTCTAACCTGATCACAAACCTCTGCCTGCCCTGACCCGGAGCCTGCCTGCCGTCCTGTACTTGCCTGACTCTGACCTGATCACGAACCTCTGCCTGCCCTGACCTCGAGCCTGCCTGCCTGCCTGCCTGTACCTGCCTGACTCTGATCACGAACCTCTGCCTGGCCTGACCCCGAGCCTGCCTGCCGTCCTGTACCTGCCTGACTCTGACCTGATTACGAACCTCTGCCTGCCCTGACCTCGAGCCTGCCTGCCGTCCTGTACCTGCCTGACTGTGTCCTGATTACGAACCCCTGCCTGTCCTCAACCTGCCCTTTGCCCCGTGTTTATAATAAATGATCTGAGAACTGTACTATCCGCCTCCTGTGTCTGCATCTGGGTCATATCCTGAGTCGTGATAGATATGGTTGTTGAATTAGATAGATAAGGATTAGACAGAGATTAAAAGGTCATAAAAAGAACCAGGAAATCCACTTGGGAGCAAACTTTTCCAACAGTTTCATTCAGCATCATATATTTGAAATACATGAGATTTATGTTCACTTTCCCTTCCTAATCCTTCCTCATTTCATCCTAAATTTGTTTCATTACATATGCTAACCACTGTCCGATCCTTCTTCCTCTCATCCCAGTGGCCCTGCTACAAACAGAGCATTGTGGGTACTATAGCCCATGGTGCTACTACCTACCAGGAAGAGTGAGTAGCGGTCGGCGGCGATCAGCTCGTTGATGTGCAGGAAGATCTTGTGGCACAACGCTGTCACGTCCAGGTGACTCGACACATCCCTCACCAGCTCCAACAGCCTGGCACAGCGGTCCAACCCCCGGGCACTGCCAACCTCGCCCATCATCCCTGTGGGAATGCCAACCCCAACCCCTCCCTGCTGGGTTCTGAAGGGCGTCCGGATGTCGCCCCAGTCGGGTTCGGCGTCGCAAAGAAAAGTTAGAGAGCCTTCCGCGTCCTTGACCACGATGGGCCTCAGCGGCCTGTCAAACTCAGATGCAGAGATCTTGCGGGTGGGGGTGCTGGGAGCGGGGCTGGGGGCCGGGGCTGGGGAGGGAGAACGCCTGTCGTTCAGGCCCAGGGAAGGGGGCAGGGAGGAGGCTACGCAGGTGCTGTCTGAGGGCTGGGTGGGTCTCTGGGGTGGAAGGGTTTCTTTGGAGGATGACGAGGAGGAGGAGGAAGAGGAGGAGGAGGGCTGGATGGAATGGACTCGCTCAGCGAACCATGCATTCACCATCTCCCTGCAAATACACAACACAGAGGACGTTATAGGGATTACAGTATCTAAGGAATTGGTGTATTTGAATAGCATCATGCGTGGAGGTAGTGCATGCATCATCTCTCTGTCAATAGACAATAGACAGGACAATAACACAACATTAACACAATATTAGGAAACATTAAGACAACATTAACAGAACATTAACACAATATTAACACAACATTAAGACAATATTAGCACAACATTAACACAACATTAACACAACATTAACACAACATTAGCACAACATTAACACAACATTAGCACAACAAGTCATAAGTCATTAGCAAGACATTAACCAACATTAACAGGACATTGTAAGTCATTATAGGACATCCATTCTTTTTTACTGCAGGGTTCTGAAACACACACCCAAAAACACACACACACATACAGTAACTCACTAATTAATTATGTTTGGCAGTATTAGTAGAACATGACTGATATGCACAGTGCCAGCATTCAAAAACAGTGTTAACCACAAGGTTCCGGGTTCAAATCCCAAACTTTTCATTTTTGTAAAAGTTACTGCACCTGAACAGCCCTACTAAAACCTTCAAAAAACTCTGTGGCTGTACAACGCATTTGCCATGAAATTTGCCTGTAGATTAGGTTGCCTGCCAGGCACTGAGTCCTAACCACACTATGAAATGGCAAGCCAATGGAAGTAGAATGCTATCTCGCGGAGCATAAGAGATGGCAATGTGTGTGTGTGTGTGTTATGTGTGTGTGTGCGAGTGTGTGTGTGCGAGTGTGTGTGTTTGTGCGTGTGTGTGTGTGTGCGTGTGACCCCCTAGTGAGAATCCCCCATAGAACAGCCCTAATGTGTCCTTACTGCTAAATTAATAGCTCTCAGAGATCTGAGTTTCAGACCTAAACGTCTGATCTTCTGATATTTTGAAGTGCCAATCAAATAATGTTTGCTTACATAATGTGGTTAAGAATTAGGAAGCTGAAAAATACTGTGGATACACAAAACAATACATATCTCCTTTTTCTTCTGTCTGAGAAATATGTCTGACCTTTTCATGGGCCTGTGGAAAATGGGGTATAAAATGAGATAAGATTATTCGACGGAAATGTAAATTATGCAAACATGGACAGGCACACTTATTTTGGCTAGACTCGGATGCAAATAAGTAGCCCTTAATCACAGGAGGCTGCTGAGGGGAGGACGGCTCATAATAATGGCTGGAATGGAGTCAATAGAAATGGTATCAAACACATGGAAACCACGTGTTTGATGTGCTCGATACCATTCCATTAATTCCGTTCCAGCCATTACTTTGAGCCCGTCCTCCCCAATTAAGGTGCCCTTAATAAGTCATAACCTACTTCCCTATGATAAATTAGGACTGATAGTTGTGATGCCAAGGTACCTGCCTTACTATATGCCCACAATATATCCAGGATGACAGTAAGGCTGCTGGTTTTCTACTGGCATTATATATATTCTTTTATTTTTTAGTCATTTAGCAGACGCTCTTATCCAGAGCGACTTACAGGAGAAATTAGGGTTAAGTGCCTTGCTCAAGGGCACATCAACATACTTTCACCTAGTTGGCTCGGGGATTCGACCAGCAACCTTTCGGTTACTGACCCAACGCTCTTAACCACTAGATTACCTACCTGCATCTCACCACAGGAATTTATAGTGTGCTCCTTTGAGATAAAATATTGTAAATAATGACTGATTACTGACTGTATGTCGTTAACCTTTTACTGCAGGGGGGCTAAATCAGGCTCACATAGTATTTCTTGGTAGTCTTAAACAAATCTACTTTGAAACAAAAGTATACACCTCACACACATGGTTATGGGCTTAAAAAAAGAAGACACCTGTACCATGTCAGACATACCATTGACATTTATTCAATTTTGAGTTTGCATCCCAAACTCAAAATACATCACAGAAGACTGAAATGTAACAAAACCGTTTTGACATAGAAACACCAGATTTTTGGCGTTTGTTTTTTAAATAATGTTTATTAATTTATGAAATCATGAAAAATATTAATAACATTCCACCCATGAGGCCACTAGGTCATTTGACTGCAGGAATGGGAATAAATTGTCCTTTTAGGTTCTGATAGTAATCTGAGTAAATGACAGTAATACAACTGTACACGAGGCACTGCAATATTTCAAAACATGTAATAACACCTTTATGTTATGATAAAGACAAAACAATGAATCATTTCAATAGTACCTATTCCAAAAGTCTGGAAATAGATTTGTTCCATGTCATTTCAGCAAGCCATGTCACCCACCCTCTCAGATTGTTCTGAAATCGTTTCTGCAGTTAGAAACAGGTAAGACTGGCATTCCTGAAACATTATTTGGGAGAAATTAAGCTAATTGATTGCACCCAAATTGGTCATTTTAATTTATAGGATTCAGATAATATTCAATAAATATAGTACCCAACATCCGATTTGTCAAAAGCCACCCATGGACCCCCCACACCCCATGCCAATCCCAACCCAACAACCAGTATACAGTATCAGTTATCTATGTTTGACAAGTAGTATGAAGCTGCGGCTTGTAGTATTGCTTCTCCATACTATGTAATGCATTATTTACCATAAAGTAGTTTGAAAGTACCCGGTTTTAACCACTAGATACCGCTGTTCCTGCTACTGCCACCACACTCTTTTATCCATTTTGCTGGTCTCTTGTGTTTATTAAATAGATCACAATATTTCCTTTGCAACTTTTGGTAGAAAGCCAATAGATTTGGCTCATGATTAAATTTAATTGTGTTGGGCCTCCCGAGTGGCGTAGCGGTCTAAGGCACTGTATTGCAGTGCTAGAGGCGTCACTACAGACCCGGGTTCAATCCTGGGCTGTATCACAACCGGCCGTGACGGGAGTCCCATAAGGCGGCTCACAATTGGCCCAGCGTCGTCCGGGTTAGGGGAGGCTTTACTTGTCTCATTGCGCTCTAGAGACTCCTTGTGGCGGGCTGGGCACCTGCAGGCTGACCTCAGTTGTCAGGTGAATGGTGTTTCCTCCGACACATTGATGCGGCTGGCTTCCGGGTTAAGCGTGCGGGTGTTAAGAAGCGCGGTTTGGCGGGTCATGTTTCGGAGGATGCATGACTCGACCTTTGCTTCCTGAGCACGTTGGGGAGTTGCAGCGATGAGACAAGATTGAAAAAATGAATTAAATTATGTGGTCAGTCTCACAATTCAAGCCAGTCCTCCATGAAAGCAATTGAGTTTGTCCTTCTCTTATGCTTAATCTGTGTCCAGGAAACAGCCCCTCTTTGTGGTTTGTTCTTTTTTATTGTTATTCCGGATCAGTTACTATCAGACCATACCTGGTGAACAAGGAAACAATTAGGCTACAGCAGTACTAATGGTTTCAATGTTATGGTCTCTAATGGTCTTCAATGGTAAAAGTCCCAAACACACATGAGATAGTGTTTTGCAACGGTAATAGTATTGGGTTCTACTAGGGTTGTCACAACATTTTAATCCCTAGTCCATTTCTCGATCAATGTTTTGGGCTTATAGGAAAAGTCTTCATATGAGAATTGCACCATAGGGATAGCCCTCCACAGAGAGCTGCCACTTGTTGAACTATTCAAGGAGAGTTAGGTTGAAGCATTAGGTTGATGAGAAGGACAAACTACATTGCTTTCATGGAGGACTGGCTTGAATTGTGAGGATGACCACACAATTTGTTTCGTGAGCTAAATCTATTGGTTTTCTACTCAAAGTTGCAAAGGAAATTTTGTGATCTATTTGATAAACAAGAGACCAGCAAAATTGATAAATTAGTGTGGTGGCAGTAGTAGCAACAGCGGCATCTAGTGGTCAAAACAGGGTTCTTTCACACTATTTTCCGAATTCAATTGCTAATTTCACTGAACAGGGGAAAAGAAACATCTCCAGATTCCCAGGGAATACATTACATAGTATGGAGAAGCAATACTACAAGCCCCAGCTTCATACTATTTGTCAAACATAGATAACTGATACTGTATACTGGTTGTTGCGGTGGGACACATTTCCTTCATGCCTTACTCATTGGAAGGAAGAAGTTCGGTCCAAATCGGATGTTGGGTACTATATTTATTGAATATGATCTGAATCCTATGAATTAAAATGGCCAATTTAGGTGCAATCAATTAGCTTAATTTATCAGAGATCAAATAATATTTCAACAAAATAATGTTTCAGGAATGCTAATCATATCCGTTACTACATAAACGATCTCAGAACCATCTGAGCTGGTGGGTGTCGAAAATTGTATTTCTTCCCACTGGGCACACACTGGTTGAATCAACGTTGTTTCCACATAATTTCAATGAAATTACATTGAACGTGGAATAGACGTTGAATTGATGGCTGTGCCCAGTGGGTTGTCCTTTTTGAGGTGGAAAATCCCAATAACAAAAAGCATTTTGGATAACTTTTAATTCACTGTGTGCTTTTGGAACAGGGATGTAGCTCAGTTGGTAGAGCATGGCGTTTGCAACGCCAGGGTTGTGGGTTCGTTTCCCACGGGGGGCCAGTATAATAAAATAAATAAATAAATAAATAATAATAATAATGTATGCACTCACTAACTGTAAGTCGCTCTGGATAAGAGCGTCTGCTAAATGACAAACATTGGAACACAATGGAAAGGAATCACCCCAATAAAGGTTAATGATTTAACTTCTGTTCTCAAGTATTTGGTGAATAGTTACTGATTGTAAAGACGATTGTGCGGTGCATCAATAAATTGCTGTGGAGAGACGTTGGATAAAGCTGGACATTGTGCGTAATACCATAAAAGGCTACCATATAGCGTGTGATATCGCCGTTTAAATCCCCAACCTTGTACAGTACGCTAGCATATTATTTTACGTTGAAACAAACAACCCACGCAGGTAAGATAGGCTGCCAGTGCCTTTCAATGCACGGAACACATTAATTATCGCCAAAATTGCTTAAAATAGAATGCACTGCGAGGATGTATCGTAAACAGAGCTATCCCTGTTTCGTAAATACAATTAATCACTTTTACGACTTCAGTCTCACCCCGCGCTTACCTTGTAGCCTTCCTGACAAAGTAGGTATGAGCGAACTCCAAGTGGTCGTCAAGCCACGCTTCTATCCTTTCGCTTTCCAGGGGATAGCAGCCCTCCATGCTCAAAGCCAAAATTCCCCCAATTAATCAGATTACCATCAACACTCAGAAGATGGAAGCAAATAATATCAGTCACTGCTAAGCAGTGTGCGTGTAGTAGTCTGCTGTTTTCAAGCGAGCGCTTCCTACATTGTGAGCGCGTGTTGATAGACTTCGGCAAGAGTTTAATTGCCTTTGCTCAGCAACATCGCACCCCTCCTCGTCTCTCTCTCTCTCTCTCTCTCTCTCTCTTTTTAAATTCAAAAATAACGGATTCTAAATTCCAGCATGGAAAAGCAATTTATTTTTTGTGGTTTGTTTGCATATTTGACAGAAAAGTAGATATGGGCTTACCTCAAGGGGGATATATGACAATAATATTTTCGCATATCCAGTATGGCAGATATTTTTCACATTTGTGAATTAAGTAATTTTTAGGCGATCCAGAAGTCAGCTGAACATAATTCAGGCATAATTCTCATTGAAATAGATTCACATTTTCATGTTTGCTTGTTCTCATGAATACATGGGACTATGTAACATACAACATGAGCTATGGCTCCTTCCTTAACACTCAAATGACCTTGACTTGCCTCAGATGGGGCACATGTGTGACTGGGTGTTGGTGAGTGGTGATACAAGGGCACATCAATTAATATCACATAAAATGACACATTTTACTCTGAGGGAATGCAGAGTGTGAATCAACCCACTGGTTCTCTTCTAGTTTTTTTCCGTATTCAAAGTTGCTGGTCTGTATTCATAAAGCATCACAGAGAAGCACTCTTTCACTGGGACGCTTTATGAATACCGACCACTGAGTGTCAATCATTCAATCACTGAAACATACTCCATTAAACTCCCCCCCCACCCCCCCCATTTCACAAATAGTAATGGCCTCTATAATAAAGTATCCATTGCTTTGCCCCAGACACTCTAGATCCTGTGTGTCTCTGGTGTGCAGCCAGTGGGACCCTGCTGATACTGTGGTGTTCTCTTACCCAACAGATGGTTTCTCTTTCCCTCCCGAGGACACAGGACCTGCCCCCAGGCATATGGGAGCTCTCTGGCTTCCTACTAGAGAATCTGGACAGCCCAGTACATAAACTGGACAGCCCAGTACATAATCTGGACAGCCCAGTACATTAGGCCTCTTAAGGCCTCCAGTCTATCTGATAGTGAGACCCTACTTAACTAACACACGTAAGCGCAGGACGCACATGCATGCATATGTACCCACATACTAACTATTACACACACACACACACACACACACACACACACACAGGGGCAACCCCCAGGCTTTCTTCCAGATGTTCCCACAGTGTGTTTCAACCTGAGCTGGTCAGACTGGACATGTCAAGTCTCACTCTCAGTCTTTCTAGCAAACAGAGCAAAACCCTACATTGCTGTGGGTTAATGCTTTTAAGATTCTTTACTCAACGGTTTATGTGTGTGTGCATGTACAGTGAGGGAAAAAACGATTTGATCCCCTGCTGATTTTGGACGTTTGCCCACTGACAAAGAAATGATCAGTCTATAATTTTAATGGTAGGTTTATTTGAACAGTGAGAGACAGAATAACAACAATAAAATCCAGAAAAACCCATGTCAAAAATGTTATAAATTGATTTGCATTTTAATGAGGGAAATAAGTATTTGACCCCCTCTCAATCAGAAAGATTTCTGGCTCCCAGGTGTCTTTTATACAGGTAACGAACTGAGATTAGGAGCACACTCTTAAAGGGAGTGCTCCTAATCTCAGTGTGTTACCTGTATAAAAGACATCTGTCCACAGAAGCAATCAATCAATCAGATTCCAAACTCTCCACCATGGCTAAGACCAAAGAGCTCTCCAAGGATGTCAGGGACAAGATTGTAGACCTACACAAGGCTGGAATGGGCTACAAGAACATCGCCAAGCAGCTTGGTGAGACGGTGACAACAGTTGGTGTGATTATTCGCAAATGGAAGAAACACAAAATAACTGTCAATCTCCCTCGGTTTGGGGCTCCATGCAAGATCTCACCTCGTGGAGTTGAAATGATCATGAGAACAGTGAGGAATCAGCCCAGAACTACACAGGAGGATCTTGTCAATGATCTCAAGGCAGCTGGGACCATAGTCACCAAGAAAACAATTGGTAACACACTACGCCGTAAAGGACTGAACTCCTGCAGCGCCCGCAAGGTCCCCCTGCTCAAGAAAGCACATATACAGGCCCGTGTCTGAAGTTTGCCAATGAACATCTGAATGATTCAGAGGAGAACTGGGTGAAAGTGTTGTGGTCAGATGAGACCAAAATTGAGCTCTTTGGCATTAACTCAACTCGCTGTGTTTGGAGGAGGAGGAATGCTGCCTATGACCCCAAGAACACCATCCCCACCGTCAAGCATTGAGGTGAAAATATTATGCTTTGGGGGTGTTTTTCTGCTAAGGGGACAGGACAACTTCACCGCATCAAAGGGACGATGGACGGGGCCATGTACCATCAAATCTTGGGTGAGAACCTCCTTCCCTCAGCCAGAGCATTGAAAATGGGTCGTGGATGGGTATTCCAGCATGACAATGACCCAAATCACACGGCCAATGCAACAAAGGAGTGGCTCAAGAAGAAGCACATTAAGGTCCTGGAGTGGCCTAGCCAGTCTCTAGACCTTAATCTCATAGAAAATCTGTGGAGGGAGCTGAAGGTTTGAGTTGCCAAACGTCAGCCTTGAAACCTTAATGATTTGGAGAAGATCTGCAAAGAGAAGTGATACAAAATCCCTCCTGAGATGTGTGGAAACCTGGTGGCCAACTACAAGAAACGTCTGACCTCTGTGATTGCCAATAAGGGTTTTGCCACCAAGTACTAAATCCTGTTTTGCAGAGGGGTCAAATACATATTTCCCTCATTAAAATGCAAATCAATTTATAACATTTTTGACATTTTTTTGTTGTTGTTATTCTGTCTCTCACTGTTCAAATAAACCTACCATTAAAATTATAGACTGATCATTTCTTTGTCAGTGGGCAAACATACAAGGTGTGTGTGTGTGGGCGTGGATGCTTGTGTGTGTTCATTCTTGAGTGTGTATGTCCTCCACAGGAACACTGTGTCCTGATGTAATCACTCAGCAGACAAGGAGAGGTTGGAGTGCAATGGCACGGCCTCCACTCACAAGTCAAACAACACTCCCCTCTCCACCATGTAATTCCCTTCTCGAGCTTAAACTGCCCGCTATTGTATATGTGGCCTTCAGTTGTACTCTGAGAGATAACCGCACCGCTTTAAAACTTTCCATATGCAGTGCATTCACATCATGAAAGGAATACTAAGTGTAGTGCACCACACACACTGCTGTCAAGTCGAAACAATCCTACTTCTTAACCATGGTGGGCAGTAGCATGCGCTAGCACAATCTAATGCATAAACAGTTTATACACACATTACTCTCTCCCTCTCTCTCTCTCTCTCTCTCTCTCTCTCTCTCTCTCTCTCTCTCTCTCTCTCTCTCTCTCTCTCTCTCTCTCTCTCTCTCTCTCTCTCTCTCTCTTTATCTCTTTCTCTCTCTCTCTCTATCTCTCTCTCTCTCTCTCACTCACTCACTCTCGCACACGCAAGCACACACACACACACACACAAACACACACACACACACACACACACGTACGCTCAGTCTGTAGGATCTCTCTACCTCACCTCTATCCATTCTTAGTTCCTCGTCGGTGGACTTTGCCCTGCAGGCCTTGGCAGTGGAGCTGTTCAGTAAACATGTGTTAGTCTGAAACATGGAGCGGCTTTACTTTACGGCTGTGGCACATAGTGGGTAAAGAAGGCCTAGATTCTCTTGTTCTAAATGGCGACTCAAATATACCTCTGTGTAAACACACTGACACACTGTACTATAAATATGTTTTTAAGTTGTCTTTGTCATGATCAGACAAAATTGATTGTCTAGAAAAGGCTATTTAAGCAATAAGGCCTGAGGGGGTGTGGTATATGGCCAGTATACCACGGCTAAGGGCTGTTCTTATGCATTACGCAATGCAGAGTACCTGGATACAGCCCTTAGCCGTGGTATATTGGCCATATACCACAAACCCCAGAGGTGCCTTACTGCTATTATAAACTGGTTACCAACGTAATTAGAGCAGTAAAAATAAACGTTTTGTCGTACCTGTGGTATTCAGTCTGATATACCACGGCTTTCAGCCAATCAGCATTCAGGGCTCGAACCACCCAGTTTATAATTTGTGTTTAATAAAGAACTCATACAGTATTGTAATGCTTCTTATGTTTACATGTATGTAAGCTCAGCGTGATGTTTTGTTCTGTGCAATTTCATGTTTCATATAGCAAGGCCCTTCAAATATCACAGCTACCAAGCTAACAATTCTAGAACGTTTTTGTAATGTTACCCGTAATGTTCCCCTGATGTTTGAGTGTCCAGTTTTCCGTTAGTTAGGGGAATATTCTATTTTAGCAAAAACCTTCGGATAAACTTTTTAGCATGTTTTGGTGTTAAAGTTAGGAGAACATTCCGTTAATGTCAAGCAGAACTTATCTAGAACGTGGTTACAACATTAATGTTCTAGACACGTTTTATGGGACATTGCAAGAACATTCCTGTGTCCAGTTTTCTGAGGGTTAGGAGAATATTCTATCAACGTCACATCAATCATACACAGAACATGGTTGCTATGTTCTCAGAATATTAATTGCCATATTAACCTGTTCTAACGATACTCCTGAATGACTATGATCAATACAAGTTTTTCTTGAGTGTACTTTTAACAGAGCTGAGCTTTACTTCCAAGTGCATTCACCCTGTTGCTTACACCTATCAAGTTGTTTCAGATCTACACAAGTGTCTTCGGAGGAGGGTTTATGGTTTCTTCTGGACAGGGCCTAACTATACTGACCCAATAAGAACATGCTCTAGAGAAATCCCTTATTGGGACAGTGTATATGGCGTTCGTCATTAGTGCTGGTGGTCCTGGGTTTCGAGTTGTTGGGTTGTTGGGTTGTTAGCTGG